ATGAGTAGTTTATTTCTGGCTGAGTGTTCATTTTGCAGTTCCTCACAGGAAAACTGAGATGAAAGGTCTTCTGATATATTACAGCTTACAAGTACAAGCGAACATTCACAATTGAGAGATCACAAAGATATACATCCCTCCCCTGTTGTCAACAATAAAGGTAAACACAATATATGCCTTGGGGTGGGTGAATGTTAGTCACTCACTGGTAAATGATTTGCAGACTGAAACATATTGTGTTTTGAATCACTTGGTTTCATAGGAAGAAATTCCAGCTGAGGCCAAGGTTTTCTGAGAGTCACACAAACTAGAAATTAATTATCTGTAAGATTCTGCCTGTTCCTTGGCATTATTTATTTTCCTTGCTTGCACATGGAATGTAGAAATAGCAGAATAGAATTCAAAGTTATCTCAAGAAGGAATTTAAACAGTTGTCAAACTTTTCTACAATTTCTACACAAATATTTGTAAACCTGTTACTTTCTGAAAACAACTGGCCAGAAAGATCCTAGTGCAATATACCAAAAGGGATCAGCAAAGAAGCTACACAGATTGGATCTCAAGATTCAATTTTGCAGCATATCCACATCACCAGACAGATCAGTCCTGAAAGAGGCCCAAGGTTTCAGTACCATCATCATGGGGGGTTCAGTGTGAAAGCAAAAGAGATTAGCCTATTGCAGTGACTTCTGCATGATGTCAGAATACCCTTCCAGTGTTTAACTCTTCTAAGCTTGCTTAAACAGAAGTTGAAAACCCATTTGTTTTGGCAAACTTTCATTGTTTAATCATGTTGCTGTTCAATTTCTAGGCTATTTTACAATAATTTAGTTACGCTCTGGCAACCCTTGCAACATTGCTGGAACCAGTGCGATTGGCTCTTCCCTTTCTATTGGACTACTTCAGTGATGTGGAGAGGGGGGATTTTCTGCTTGGGACACCTGTCTCTATGGCAGGTCTATCCTCCATATTATTTTACCCAGGCTTCATGCTCTGGAGAGGACACTCTAGCTTCACATACAGTGTCAAAACAACATGGGAAGTAGCAGTTACTGGTTATAAGTCTTTGCTTGATTGGTGTAGAGCATGATGCCAGGGGCTACTTCCAATGGTGGGAGAGGTCATTGCCCCTCACTAGGTAGCTACAGCCCGCCTTAAACTGGGCAGCCCCCAGCCAGTAAGGTGCTGCCTTGCCACGGTCTGTTAACCTCATGGGGTGCGTGAGGTTTAGGGTGAAAGCTGACAAACAGATTGATAATCCTGCACCATGCAACAATCATGAGAAAACCTGGAATGTTTGGTCAATGACCCCTGGCTTTTCTGACGAGCTGCAGGAAACTTTTAGCTCTAGAATATTATGAGACCTAGGCGCAGACTTACTATGTCTAAATGGGTGGCATATAAGCTCAATGAATGAATGAATGAATGAATGAATGAATGAATGAATGAATGAATGAATGAATGAATGAATGAATAAATAAATAAATAAATAAATAAATAAATAAAATGTACAAACAGTCTCATCCCATGGGTGAAACACTAGGGCACATGGACTCCATGTTTTTGTTATCAAAGAATCATGAAGTTGGAAGGGGCCTGTAAGGCCATTGAGTCTAAGTTCCTGCTCAAAGCAGGAATACAAATCAAAGGATATAGATAGATAGATAGATAGATAGATAGATAGATAGATAGATAGATAGATAGATAGATAGATAGATAGATAGATAGATAGATAGATAGATAGATAGATAGATAGATAGATGTACACACAGTCTCATCCCATGGGTGAAACACTAGGGCACATGGACTCCATTTTTTGTTATCAAAGAATCATGAAGTTGGAAGGGGCCTGTAAGGCCATCGAGTCTAAGTTCCTGCTCAAAGCAGGAATACAAATCAAAGGATATATGTAAGGTATGTAGTTGTCCAAACTTCTCTGGAATGCCTCCAGCACTGGAGCACTCACCACCACATGAGGCAATTAGTTCCATTGCTATACTGCTTTAACGGGATTTTTCTCCTGCTGTTCAGCAGAAATCTGGCTTCCTGCATCTTGAGTCCATTGCTGCATGTCCTGCACTTGGGGATGATTGAGAACAAATACCGCCTCTCCTTTGTATGCACTTTTGTTACAATGATGTTCTGCAGTTTTATTCACATGTAATGAGAAAAAAAGAAAAAAAACAAGAGACTGGGCATTCTCGGCAGTGGCTCCCAGGCTCTGGAATACTGCCTCTCCTCTGTATGCACTTTTGTTACAATGATGTTCTGCCAGTTCTGTAATGACATTTTGGTGGTCCATTTTTCTAGAACTTCAGAAAGCTTTTCTATCTCTGTGCTTCTCTTCCCTTCTTCCCCCTTACATCACTGCCTGACAGTGAGAGCAAAACATGATCAGCACAGTGGGGAGGGGGTACACTTTAAAATTTGAGGGTGAGGTACCCCTCATCCTGCCTCATCCTGACTGGTGTAGTTAGTGGTGGTGGGCTGCCATTTGTTACTCTGAAGCAGATCATTTCTATTTTGACAAGTTGAGCAGACATGTTGCAATCACATAAGTCCATGTTAGGTACTCACAGAACCTGTGACTCATTGCACTAGAAACTGTAGAATGGTTCTGTACAGATGCCTAAATTCTGGCCACCATGAGATGAAATGGAAAGCAGAATCACACCTCCTGGTCTCACTTCCAACCCCTCATGGGTTTCCTGCAAAGCAACACATGTAGAAGCAGCACATACATAGACTTTTTATGTGCATTTGATATTCATAAATGCTTCAATCTGCTAAACACTAAAAATATCTGTCCCATCTATAGACAAGAATAATCAGTCCTAGGACTCTATGTAAGTGCTGCTCTTACACAAATTACTTTCCACATTTCCCTAATATTCTACAGAGAACTAATTGGTGTCTCTGAGGAGAAATAAAGGGGAAAGTCCTTTGACTAAGGAAGCTAATTTGATGTCTGGCTTGCAGCAGCTGCGTTCCCTTCCTTCCACTCTGTGTAGTTCAGAATCCACCCTCAGAAGGATTTGGAGAACAAACATCTGCTCTGCTTATTAGGAGTACTGGATCTGACCTGCGAAGATGTGGAAGGGTTCCTTTTTATTTTACCAGACATCTGCCCTTTCCAACTAGAGCCCTTTTCTTCAAAAAATGACAGGCCACTGGAATTTATACTTGACATCAGAGTTCACATGGTCTAAGCCATATGCTCTAATATTTTGGGCAGAACCCAGAATCACTTGTTTTCCTTGGGAACTGAATAGGACGGTTTTCATATTCTGAAAAACATTTAGACATTCTTGATTTAGATTTGTGTTGTTGTTTAATCCTTAAGTTTTGTCCGATTCTTCGTGACCCCATGGACCAGAGCACGCCAAGCCCTCTTATTTTCCACTGCCTCACGGAGTTTGGTCAAAGTCATGTTGGTACAATGATACTGTTCAGCCATCTCATCCTCTGTCATCCTCTTCTCCTCTTGCGTTCACACTTTCCTAACCTCAGCGTCTTTTACAGAGAGTCTTCTCTTCTCATGAGATGGCCAAAGTACTGGAGCCTCAGCTTCAGGATCTGTCCTTCCAGTGAGCACTCAGGGTGGATTTCCTTCAAAATGGATAGGTTTGATCTCCTTGCAGTCCAGGGGACTCTCAAGAGCTTCCTCTAGCACCACAATTCAAAAGCATCAATTCTTTGGCGGTAAGCCTTCTTTATGGTCCAGCTCTCACTTCCATGCAACACTACTAGAAAAAATACAGCTTTGACTATGCAGACCTTTGTCGGCAAGGTGATGTCTTTGCTTTTTAAGATGCTGTCTAGGTTCATCATCGCTTTCTTCCCAAGAAGCAGGCGTCTTTTAATTTTGTGGCTGTTGTCACCCTCTTCCCATATCTTGTGAGGAGGTGATGGGACCAGTGGCCATGATCTTAGTTTTTTTGATGTTCAGCTTCAGACCATTTTTGGCGCTCTCCCCTTTCACCCTCATTAAGAGGTTTTTTAGTTCCTCCTCACTTTCTGCCATCGGAATGGTATCATCTGCATATCTGAGGTTGTTGATATTTCTTCCAGCAATCTTAATTCTGGTTTGGGATTCATCCAGTCCAGCCTTTTGCATGATGTATTCTGCATATAAGTTGAATAAGCAGGGAGACAATATACAGCTTTGTCGTACTCCTTTCCCAATTTTGAACCATTCACTTGTTCCATATCCACTTCTAACTGTTGCTTCCTGTCCCACATATAGATTTCTCAGGAGATTGTAGGCTTTACGTACCAGAAGGAAATGCCAGTTCTTACTTTGCCCTAACATTCCAGAATGTTTTGAATGCCACGATAGTTGGCTTTCTTTCTTTCCAGCTATGGATTCTCTTTTTCTCTTAATGTAGGTTGTGTATCTATATTTCTACGTCAAATGCTGGTATTTTATGCCATACCCTGTCACAACCAGAGGTATATAAAAACATATATACTGGTCTTTCTGTTCTATCTCACTTTTTACAAGCAGGACAAGGCACAGGACCTCCTCTGTTGCCAAAGTCAATACTTCACATCTGCACACTTGGGGCAGGTTTCATGGCGCCGGCGGAGGCTTCGATAGCATTTCTATTCCTGGTTTGGTGGCAAACTGCCTTCTATTCTGAGTCACGCAGGCCTCAGACAGGTTCCATTTCAGTCTCAGCCGACTGCCTTTGGCCTGGGTGGGCAAAGGATGCCAAGCTGCTCCTCTGCCATCTCTACTGCCAGGGTCGCTCTTTCTTTGATTGAGATCCAGAAGGCACAGTCTCTGTGTGCTTCAAGAACAAGAGGGGCTCTAGGAGAGGTCTCAATGGAAGAGTATAAATACACAAACGCCATTGCTCTCTTTGGTGGCCTACATGTTTTTTACACACAATCTCCTCCTTGTCTCTCTCCGCTGGCTCAGAGCTTGTGTTCAATATTAACGAACTCTCCTTCTTGCCTCTGTAATTGACCATGGCGCTGTTTTCCAGGGGTTTTGGCAAGGCAGAGAAAAAAGGAATAAGGGGAAAAATGCAAAAAGGGAAAAGAAACCAACAGTGTGAATGGAGCGACCTTCAGAAACCACATCCTTCCTCTGAAATAGAGATCCTTTATTCACCTGGGCTCAAGCACAGCTGGACAAGACACCATTGTCAAACATTTGCAAAGGGGCCAAAGGTACAGGGGAGCTGGTGCGCGGTGGTGCCAAGAAAAAGGGGGGGAAGGTGTGGCGCTGATGGCGAGTGCTGCTGGGAGGAGGGCAGGATTTTGCAAATATGAGGTGCTGAATGAGATGCATGCCAATCCCTCTGTCTCCCTTTCACAGTGGAGTTTATTTATATAGAAATGGCACCGAGAGCCTTAAGTAAACATCCGAAGCCCCCTGGCCCCCTCCCCTTAGTCCAGAGTGCCTGAGGTCGGAGCAGGCTGTTCAGGGTAGGACAAGAAAGCCCCTACCGGCAGCCGTTTCTTCAGCTCTTGCTCAATGGACTCATTCACTGACTGTGATGAATGCATCGGTTCTGGCACATTAGCAGGCAGCTGGGCTCTTTCACTGGACCACTAAGGCTGTCAGGGCATGGTAGGATTCTCACCTGCTGGTGGTCTGTCTATAGGTATGTAGGCGAGACAGTTTCCAGTCCCCAAGGAGCCATATTATGTCCCCACTCCCAGGCCAGAAAAGGCTGCAGGTACCAAAGACTTTGTCTGATCACTGATGCTACTCACCAGGAAGATACAAGTTCCTTTGATGCCTCCATTTCTACTGCTAGACTACCTTTCCATTCTCATGGGAATCTGTAATATAAACTCTGGGAATGCAATCCATTCAGAAACCCTTTCAACATGCTGAATGACAACAGTGATGTTACGGTGCCTGCTTGCTGCAGTGTCATCTTCAGCACACATGCCAACCATTTACTAGAATCCACTACAGTACGTGGTCCCGACTTTGTGGTTCTACAAATAGGGACTTAAAAGGAATCCGGTCTATCTCAAAACAGAACTCTCCCAGCCTCAACCTGCAAGGATGCAGCAGGTCTCAGAGGATAGATTGAGTAGGTTCTTGTATCTGTGTGCTACACTGATGTTTTTGAAGTTTACAGTGGAAACTAGGGTGTGGGAAGCAAGTGCATTCAGACAATATTTGGGTAGAAATAACACCCCACTCAGATGATGTTTAGCATTACACATTTGTATAAAATATCTGGCAAAGGATCAGCTATGCCACATGGCCTTCATTCACCTGGAAAATTCATATGGGAGTAATGTGTGCTGTGAGTATTCATGCCATTCATGGCTAAGTGGGACACTAGCTGTGACTGCAAATATATATATCAATGTGGAATTATTAATTTAGGAGCCCACTTGCCTGAGTGTTTACATCTGCAGTGAGATCTGTCCAATTAGAAAGGGAAAACTTCCTATGTCACTGATCACAGGACACAAATAGCTAATGCTGAATCATATAATGAGCCTTTGAGAAAGCAGAAGCTTGCCATTGGGTGCCAAATCTGGGTGCCACCTGAATGTGTGGGTTAAAAGTATTTGATGTGTCACATGAATCGGCCAACCTTCAACCTCTGACAGGTTAGGCTTTCTATGTTATTGTGTTCTCGGCTCCATCCCTTCAAATAACATATTTCTCATGCCAACTTTTCTCTGGCTGTTCAATCCACCTATAGGTTGGAACCCTCATTTAGAACCCCATTCTCAGTCTCAGCTGTTGACCCAAGAACAAACCCTGCCCCTGATGTATCTCTTATGCTATGTTGTCCAAAACACTGCTTGCTGGCAGACTGACAACCTAGCAGAGTTTGCAAGTCCTCACTGGCCTTTCTAGTGGCTTCTGTGGTTTAGAGATTGTCATCAGCCATAGACAAGATGCTAGGCTGAGTGGCCTTCTTCTTCCAAGGAGTGCAAAGAGGACAGTTTGCATTTTAGAAGCTCTGTGGGTTACGTTTCAGTGGGTTACAATGTTTTGACAGAGTGTGCTGTGTACAAGTCAGCATCTTAAGGAAAATGTCTCAGAGGATTTGTTAGGACTTGGTAGGATCCATATTGAATGGAATTAGAAACATCACAGGAAGAACATGGCCAGTTGAATTATTCAATGTTCAGAAATCCCAGTTGGGGCCTTTTGCTGGCCACAGCGATCCAGAAAAGTGACAAATCCTCTCCACACTGCAATTAGGCAGATGTTTGATGATCTGCCCTGTTGTGGTCTCAATATAACTCTCAATAGCCGTTGGCAACCTGTAATAAAGGATTGCATATCCACTGGCATTAGCTGTTCCAGTTCCAATTCTGTTATTCATTAAACTTCCCATCCCGCTCAGATCTTGAGGAATTTTTATTTTGTTTTGCTTTTGTCCTTAGTTATAGTTGACGAAGCCAAGTTGATCAAAATAATTCTTAATGAAGATGAATGTTTGCTAGTCTTTGGACCTGCCAGTTTCACTTAATATCCTTTCCAGGTAGCAGGCTTCAACATTTTTCTGTCCTATTCCATGCTGGCCGGTCCATAGGGTAACTGCAATAATGATCATGGGTGGCAGTCATGGAGGTAGCACTCAGAGAGCTGTACTCTGCACAACTGACCAGCAGGGACCAGAGCAATTGGCACTGAGCAAATGGCTAGGCAGGATGAGCAGTACTTTATGTAGGTGAACACAGGGCTAGAGGTGGAATCCAAGAAGACAATGAAAATAGACTCTCTTGGGTGCATCCTCGTAAACTCTTCATGTTATCATGTTCCTATTTTAATTCATCAGTTGAGGTTGGAGGGAGAATCCCCACTATTTTCATCAGGTTAGACTATGCCAATAATATTTTCCCCACAAAATGTAGGGATGGATGATGGAAGTATGATCAATTACTGTGAAAAGCAAAGCTTGGAAATCTTTTTTAAAAAATCTAATTGCCAGTCAGCATGGCCACTGGGAATTGTGCTAAAAATTAATTTTTCCAACACCATGCAAAAGTATTTTCTTTTAATTTATTCTGATTGCAATACTGGGGATTTTCTCATTTCAGAACTGAACAAATTTAGATGACATCAATACAAGGGCAAAATAAATGTCTTTTGCATTTACATGCACGTGAATGCGAGAGAGCTCTGAGAAAACCATCTTAATTCCCAGGAGAAAGGTGAATGAAAGAATGAATAAGTAAATAAATAATGAAGAACAATAATGGTTGTGCTGATTTCTATATCCCTCCGTTTGCCAGATTCAGCTCAATCCAATACTGACATGCCCTTTGCTGCAAAACTGAAGTTGGTACAAATTGAAACATCCATCATGATGAATTATAATAGAAAGCTAAAATCTATTGGATTATAGCCTCTGGCTAACAGAAGCCTATGTTGCCCCTAATTTGTGTACGTGCAGGACTGACTCTCAAGATGGTAACAGAAGGACCCAGAAAGATTAGCAGCAACATGTCTGTTTCACCTGTTGCAACCTCTCTGGTGCCCTTGGCAAAAGCCTTTGTGCCAATCTGAGTTGTCGATGCCCCCACGGCTTGAAGACTTGCTCCAGCTGCCAGCCCTCCAATCACAGTTGCAAGCTGTGTCATCCCCTTTCAGCACTTTACCTTGAAGAGACTGAAGTGCAGAACAGACAATATTTGGATGAGAGGGCGAACCACTGTTTTTCTTCCCTTCACCCAGCTGAACAGGCTACAGCTGGAGAGAGAGGAAGCAATGCAGGGGAAAATGGCCCATTGAAACGTTATCCCCACTGGGATGGTGGGGGCTGTGATTCCTTCACAGGGTCTCTTGTGAAACTCTAAACCAAGTGGATGGTGGAAAGGCTGGGGGAGAAGAGAGACAGCTGCAGCCACCTCCTGGGGCTGTACCCATGCCTCGTTCACAGCAGAATGGTGGAAGAAAAAAGGAGGCAAACATATTTAGTGTGCAAAAGGAGACACAGTTGGAAGTAATAATGGCTAAATATTTTCTCCAAGTTTCTTTTCCCCAGTCGCAGGCATGCCAGAACCTCTGGAAGCACGAAATACTCAGGCAAAAAGGAGGACTTTGACTAACCCGCCTTAGTTCTCAGTTCTCTTAGACCAATCTTTGAGGAGGAGATAGGGTGGCAGCCGGGTGGGGGTGGAAGGGTCCCACCAGGATTTGCCATATCCTGAGCAAGATTCCCAGGCTCCAAAAGAGTGGCCAGTTGCTGGATCAATTTCAGGGAGATGTCGGTAGTGGAGTTCACGGTGGCTTAAATGGAACAGCAGCTAATACAGAACAGATGGGGGAGTGTTTTGTGCATGAGCAAACCAAATAGGAATAGAAGTTCTCCCACTGCTGACTACCCAGCCCCCTCCCCCTCACTACTGGAGAATGACACAGGTGCACACATAATGTGTGCAAGCAGATAGCACAGGTGTACTCACATGGACAAGCTCCTTCTTGTGCTCAAATCTATATCTGCATGTATCTGATATGCAGAAAACATAAGCAGATGAAACTCAAGGGCTTGACATATATTACCATTTCTATCCTAAAGCTGTGCCACTGCTTACTACTTGGCCAAACCACTGCCCATCAAAATAGAATGCAAGAATTAATTTCATTGTTGATGCCCTTCAGATCAGCTTCCCCTAACCTGGATCATCTTGAATAGCTAATAATGATTCCCATGCCACTGCCAGGAAGATGGGTGTTATAGTTCAACACATCCAGGGAAAGCCACTTAGGACGAGGTTAAACCAAAGAGGGATGCATTTCTGAAAAAAACCTTTTGCTCTGGAGGCTCACCTTTCATCTCCTCTGCTAATACTAGCTCTTTGGAAAATTGCAAAGGACTGGAAATCCTATGTCTGTCCAGAGTCCTGAGATTTGGACATAAAGTTATGGACACCCAGGAGCTGAGAGACAAGTCCAGCCAGCTGGCTGACCTTCCCCCCCTTATAGCAGGAATAGGAATAACAATTGCCAGTCAATATCAGGGAAGGACTAAACACATGAGAATACACATCCATTTCTAAAGTCCCCCTGTGCATTCACCCAGAGGGGGGGGAACCCATTTGTGTTGCAACTGTAACATTTGACCTTTACATATTACTGATGCAGTTGAGCCAGCTGAGACCCAAATACTTCCAAGCCGACCTCCCAACCTTGTTTTGAACTGAAAAGACAAAAGAGACCTTTGGGAGGTGGTGACTCTTTACAGACAGACTCCATAGAGGGTAAAGCAGGCCTTCTGAGGAGCAAAAAAACCTCCAGGCAGAGGCTGTATTCCAAAAAAATAATTTATGGTTGTGGATAATTCATGTGCATTAGAAATAATATGTACATAAATATTTATCTCTAGGACTATGTACAGGGGGCATCAGGAGCCAGAAAGGAAGGTCCATGCTCTGTGTTAAGAGGCCTGTCCTTGTGGCCATGTATCTGGAGGATTGGCCTGAGAAAGCGGGCTGACTCCTGCCAAACAGTGAGATTTGATTTAAAGAAAATATTAAATTGGGTATCAAAGAAGCAGGATGCCCCATGGCTTGGGAGACGGGTCCCATGGGTCAGATTACAGGCCAAAGCCCAGAGAGAATTCTCCTCTCCCTGGGATAAGGTTCCTCCCTGCTTATTTGGTCCTATTTATTCTCAGACAGCTGACAGCATCCAAGGCTCAGCTAGAGCAAAAACAGCTTTGAGGGAACCTGAGATTATAGAGCATGGAAGCACCTGCAGGTGTTTGTAAGGAAGGCACCCCATCCTCACCAGGGAACCTTTGGTTGCCTTATTGTCCGGCAGTTTCCAGATGCTTGAGGTGCAGATCCTTGGGCCTTCCTGGTACAGCTCTCAGTTCTTTCCTTCCAGCAAGAACAGCGTGAGAATTTCTGTTCCCCAACTGTGTGATCCTCTAGGAACAGGGGGAGGGGAACAGCCACCATCCTCTTCCCTGGGTGTGTGTATGTGTGTGTGTCTGTGTTTGTATGTGTGTGTGTCTGTGTTTGTGTGTGTCCATAGTTTATCCCTTGCCTCATGTCCTCACATTGTGATAGGGGAAAAGGCAAGGGCTAACAGGCAGGGGGTCGTGGGTGAAGACAGAGTCATCCGAAGAGCAGGTACTGGTCGTGTCCTCGCAGGAGGGGGAATACTGTTCAAAGGGCATGGAGAGGTCTAGATACTGAAAGGGAAAAGAGAGAGAGAGAGAGAGAAAGGACACCAGTCAGCACTCACAGGGAACAAAGTCATGACTTGCCTCCACTGCTTCTAGCCTTTTAAACAGTGACACCTGCATGCTCTCCCCCTAGAGGCTTGAACCTACCTCTTCAGAGACAGCAACCAGGACTTTATCCAGTCCCTCCACCAGCTGCTTGAAAGTGGGTCGTTGTGAAGGTACAGCATGCCAGCATTCTCTCATCATCATATACCTATTGGAGAAAAGGGAGTCTTCAGCCTCACATCTGTCTGCCACTGTAGCCTGTGGACCATGGTGCTGGTCTCTGACTAGCCCTTAGAAGGCAACAGGGTACTTACAGTTCATGGGTGCAATTGGAGGGCTTGTCCATGCGGTGGCCTTCTCTCAGGAGTTTGAAGAGTTCTTCTACTGGGATGCCTGGGTATGGGGAACCCCCCAATGTAAAGATCTCCCACATCAGAATTCCAAAAGACCACCTGCAAGCATGATTATGAGAGTGAGGATGAAGAAAGAGTAACAGCAACGCCACAAATCTCTCCAGAGAGCAACCAGGACCACAAGCATCAAACATCAGATGGGGCATTCCTCTTCATAATGCTTGGTGCAAAATTACAACCAAGTCTCACCAAAATGAGTGACAAGAAAGGTGGTGGCTGGGGTGTATGTGTGTGGAACATACTGGGTATGTATATGCTGCAAATTCTTAAGGATGGCAGCTCAGTTTATTGGGGCAGAGAAGTGTCCTTGTAATTAATGCGATCTGTATCAAAGATGACTGCTGGAATTATGAACCAAACTGAGAGATATTCCCCATCATTCTCCACATTCCCAAGATGCTTGGGAGAAGGACTGAAGATCAACAGTAGGACATATTCTTTGGACTGAAAAGATTTCAGATGCAAATCCTAGTATCTCCAGCAAGAGGTGGGAAAACCCCCACCTGAAACCCTCTAAGAGAGCTGCTGCCGATCCTTTCAGGCAATCATGAACCTCATGGACTGATTATCCATCTTGGTACAAGGTCAGAATCATGAAGTATTTAATGTCCTGGCCGTTTTGATGGTGGAACCCTGTAACCAAACCTAGCAAAGTCAATACTTACACATCACTCTGATGTGTGTACACCCTGTCAAAGAGAGCTTCTGGTGCCATCCATTTTACAGGCAGACGGCCCTGCAGGAATAAATAAAAAAATCTTAGTTTATTGTTGCTTTCTCATGGTGACAACCCCCTTTTAAAGCTTTTTCCTTTACTATACATTCCTCCACATCTGCTCAATTTTGCTTGCTTTGTACATAACTTTGGATATTTGGAAAAAGGGATTGACAAAACCCCCTCTCCTCTGATACTGATGACAGTGTAAGTACATGTGAGTGCAAGTACACACAGAGCCATACATGCTATCCCTCCTTTCTATCCTAATTTGCTGCTGCTAGTCCTTCTCCCTTTCTTTGCCTTACAATATTGTGAGTTTCCCGTATAGCTTAAGAACTCTGGTTCTTCCTCTCCCATAGCCATCAAATGGCCTCACTCACGTTGCTGGTTTTCTTGTAGTAGTCAATGTCATGGACACCACGGGCCAAGCCAAAATCAGCAATTTTCATGACATTATCTTCAGTGACAAGGACATTGCGGGCGGCCAGATCTCGATGAATGCACTGTAGAGGGAGGGAGAAGGAGAAATGCATTGTCGTTCACAGTCCTAAGGAACTCACTACCTACACTGGTCTCCAGCTCAGTGCCAGACACATACAAGGTGTAGGATGTTTTATTTAGTATGCCACAAGTATAATTAGGAGGTTCCCTGCAGCCTTGCACATCTCCTTCAACCCCTTCCTCTTCTTTACCTCCTTGTAGGCTTCCAAGCCTGATGCATGCAACTCATCATCTTCCCTTAGTTTTTCAGGCAACTCAAGGACAGAGTGCCTAACAGTGACACCAATGAGCCAAATAACTGGTTTCTGTTCTAGACCAGTGGTTCCCAATCCTGGGTAACTCAGGTGTTCTTGGGCTGCAACTCCCAGCAGCTTTTACCACCAGCTGTACTGGCTAGGGTTTCTGGGAGTTGGAAGTCCAAGAAAATTGGGATTACTCAAGGATGGGAACCACTGGTCTATGACTTCAGTCATTTCTACTTAAATCTAGGCTGTTTAATCTTCAGCCCTAGGGCTGCTTGTGGCTCTTAACCTAAATTCAAAAGACTCCTGCTAGTAAACCATCCAGACTAGAGATGGAAAACCTCTTTTTTTTTGGACTTCAGCTTCCAGAATTCCACAGTCTATGTGGCCATTGCTGGCTGAGAATGGATCTAAGAGGCATCCAATTAAATATCTCTGATCCAAACCATTAGCAAGAGGAATCTGCTTTCCCAGCAACTCCAGAAGAAGGGGAAAAAGAGGAAAAGAGAGAAGGTGGTGACTTGTTTTTAGTCCCACCCACCAATGGTCTCCAATCCACTGCCACTAAAATGATGCCTTCGAAGAGAGGAAAAGTTTCCCATTCCTGCCTTGAATGAAAGAAAAACCCTACTAAGTCACTCTAGCAGAGAAAGTAGCAAATTCTTCAGGCAAAACCCTCTCACCCGTTTGGACTCCAGGTATTCCATGCCACGTGCCACTTGGTAGACACACGAGACCAAGTCTTTGAAGGACAGTTGCTCCTCGGGCATCTTGGTAATGTCAAAGGTATAATCTGGTGTGGGAGGGCGACGGGCACGCAGGTACTCCCGCAGGTTCCCTTTAGCAGCAAACTCCACAATCACATAGAGAGGCCCTGCAGCGAGATGCTGAAAGTGACCCTCTGTTCTCAGGTGGTATCTCCTTCACATTCCCCTATGTTATAACATCTGCTGTTAATTCCTCTCCCCCACCCCCCATGCTTGTTTCATGCGAGAGAATCTCACTCTGTCAGTGGGAATCTGAAACCCCAGAGCCCAGCAATGTTCCTGCCCCTTACCTCCCAAGTATGTTGCTCAAACACCCACCCACCCACTTCCTAGGATATCCTCTGCCTCTCAGCACATTGATAGACTTGCTCACCATCTTGTGTACAGACACCCAAGAGGTTGATGATATTCTTGTGCTGGTCCATAAGTTTCATCATTTCCATTTCCGAAATGAGGTCAGCCAAGTCCTTGTCAGTAGCATTATCTGGGGGGGGGGGGGCGCAAAGGAAGCAAGTTATATGACATTTGTAGTGGGAGTGTGGAGGCCCACAGTCTGGACCAGGATCATGAATGGGAGGCCAAAACAGAGATGGGAAAGTAATTTGGGGGATGGGGTGGGCATTTCCAAGGATCTAATGGACACTGGCCATTTCTTGGGAAAGAAGCCTGACAAGTCAGCCGTGATAGCTGCATTTACCTTTCAGCATTTTGACAGCAACAGTGATGGGGCGCTCAGGCCGTTCCTGGTCAATCCCATAGGCTTCTGCTCTCACCACCTGCCCAAAACAGCCCTCACCTAGTGGCTTGCCCAACACCAGCCTGAAGGAAGAAGGAGAGTTTCATAAATTACCATAAAAATGAGAATCTCCTGTCACATCCTGGAGATAGGTGCCTTTGGATGAGTGGAACCTGAAAATGTAGCTGCACTGTGCAAAGCTTTATATGAAGGAGTTGGCAGGTCCGGTGCAAGACATAGAGAAAGTGGCAGGATCAGGCTCATTGCCAGTTAAAGAGAACATGCAGAGCTGTAACAACTGATAAAAGAATGAGGCCGAGACACCTGCTGCAGTGGATCACATAAGAGCCAGTCCAAAACATGTCGGACTAACTCAGCATCCCTGGGGGGGGGGCGCGATGTAGACAAATCCTTGCCCTATCTCACACACTTACCTGTCTCGTGGGAATTCCCACTTTGAATCCAGTGGCAGCTCCACTTCCATGACACCAGCCAGCATGGGGGTACAGCTTGACGAGAGGCGTGTGACACGCATCAGTGATGTGGTAGATTTCCCTGAGGAGCTTGATTCCAGTGAGAACTATGGAGACAGACAAGACACTGACTCTACACTGATCCAGAAGCATTGTTTTACTCCACAGCAGAAACAGACTGAACAAGGGCATGTCAAGATTTAAGGGCAAAGGAGTAGGCCTCACACGGTAGAGTACAGCATGCATAGCCAAGGCCAGGGTTCTGTTGGCTGCGGCTGCTGCAAGCTAGACCTCAAAAACATCTAGAAAGCATGAGGGACCCTCCTCCCACCTAAGAGTATTAGAACTGCCTGATCAGGGCCAGCCTAGTCGAGGGAAAGAAAACTACCCGTTCTTGGATTGAGACTCCTGCCTGCCCTAAACAGCACGGCCTATGGCAAACCGTGAAGGGAGTTACAGTCCAAACATACCGAGGAGCTCACAAGTTGTTCACTCATCTCGTTTAACAATCTGCCTCTTGGATAGTGGCCAGTGGGATGATGCCCTGACTCTGAAATGGAGATGGCTTTTGGGTGCCATGTGACATAGCTGTTGATGGGTCTTAGGTTCCATGAATGTAAAGTTTTTCTGGAGCCTTTCATTCTGTTTGGGATTTTACCAACTTGAAAACTTGGTTATGATTCGCGGATCCGGCTACCTCACTGTATACCACTGACTCTTGCTCAGAGCCTACAGCTGGCTTGGATACATTCCTTTTTTTAAACTACAGCTCTCAGAATGCCCTAGTTTCTAGGCTATCCGGGGGAAAAAAGCAATTATCCCAGATTGTCTGTTTTTTGAAAACCACTGCAGTGGTACAACCATGGCTGCCCTGAGCTCATTAAAGGGAGGTGCAGGACCCTGGTACATACCTGCCGGATGAGGGGGAATTTGGAGAGCTTGTGTACAGCCATGGGCTCCAAGGGCTGCTTGTTTGGCTGAATTTGCATCCGGCACAAGACAACGATGACAATAGCCATAGTGATGGCCAGTCCCCCAGAAGTGTAGATAATGATGTCACTATACTTTATTTCAGGGGCATCTGCCTCTTGTACTTGTTCTTCATCTGCAAGGAAATAATTCTTCAATCAAGCATGTTCCAGCAGAAAGAACTCAAACTAATCCAAGACCTCCTGGAGCAGAGGAAAGTGGCCAAGTTCTGCATTTCAGAAGCAGTTTCTTTTTCCTGGGCTGCCCTTATCTATCTGAATCATACAAATTTAGCAGGCACAATCCATTGCAAAACCTAAAAAAAACTACAGTGGTGCCTTGCATAACGAGCGCACCGTTTAACGATTAATCCGCTAGCGATGCGGATTTTGCGATCGCTAATGCAATCGCATACCGATGTTTGAATAGGGCAAAAATCGCTTTGCGACGATCGGTAAGCGTTTCGCTTACCGATCTGCATTGCGATGTTGGGGGAACAGCTGATCGGCGGTTCCAAAATGGCCACCAGAACACCCAAAATGGCCACGCGCAGCGTTTTCGCACCCTGCCCTTGCTTACCGAGGGCACGAAAATGGCAGCTGGATGGGGAAACTTCGCCCAACAGTGAGTTTGGGCCCTGTTGGAATGCATTAAACAAAGTTTAATGCATTCCAATGGGCTTTTCCATTCCGTTTAGCGATGTTTCCCCATAGCGAAGGTTAATTCGGAACGGATTAACCTCGCTATGCGGGGTACCACTGTACTGATTATAATTGCTCAGTCCATATACATAGGAAATAGATTCTCAAACACTGACAATAAAAAGCTAGTCTTCTACAATAACTTTCTAATGGTTTATGTGATTTAACTTTTCTATTTGTATTGGATTTCATATTTTTGTTGCTGTTTAAGAATTTGCACTTTCCAGTGTCTGCAATATGCAATTCTGGCACAGGCTAAAAAATGTAAATAATCTGCTGCAATTATTTGATGCAGTGTTTTTCACACAGTTTTATTAAACACACCAGTAGAATATCCAGCATTTTGTCTCACATCTTGATTACCATTTCTGAAACCCCTTAGTTTTTCCACCATGCATGTAGATTTTCCTTTTAAAAAAAATAAATGGCAGCATTAATACTAGAAATTTACATTTTACCTCTTGTGCTCTGATCCATTTTAAAGAGTTTTTAGGTAACAAGATACTGTTTTAAATCAGCTTCCCTACAACAGAAGCAGACAGGAAATTCTAAATTCCTTCTGGAATTTCATGCTGTATCTCCTTCTAATTTAACTACCTAAAGCATGACAGTGGCTCAGTGTAGATTGCTCAATATAAAGCTAGATATGTGAAATCCTGGGGCGGAGGGAGGAGGGAGAGGGAGACTTAGGAAAAAAGTCCCCCCTTTTTTCCCTAGAATTTTTTTTGGGAAAAACTTGAAAAAGCCAGAAAAAATAGGGGAGGTATGCTCAATATTTTTAGCATTCCACTCTCCCCTCCGCAGGCCTTCAAATTTATATAAAGCCAAACTTTCCAGTTCCTTTTCTCAGTTTCAGTTTTGAAGTCACCTTAAGGTGGGGGAAATATGTGCTCTCCAGATGTGACTGAAATGCAACTCTTTTCAGCCATAGCCAGCAAAGTCAAAGATGAGGGAGGGAAGGTCACACGTTCCCCATCCCTGTTTTAAAGACATTCTTGATATTTCCTTTATCAGGAAACATTTTACACTGTAGATGTAAAGAAAACAGTGCCCAGTCTTCACTCATTTAAATGCCCCATTTAAGGGTGTGATAAAACAGGAGCATAGTGTTCCTAGGCAAATCTATTTACATGTGTGTAAACGCAACTGCATAACTCACCATGGCCCCTAATTAACAAAGTATGCTCTAAAGTGAAACAACTTTTAAGTCCTCTTCTATTTCAATGAGACTCTCATAATTTAATCAGATGCATTCAATGGGCCCTGTTCTTTAATATATGTGTTTAGAAAATATACAATTACAGCTTGTTTACTCAAGATGTTGACTACACTCTGTTTAGTGGAACTTAGCTCTCAGAAATATACATATGCATCAGGCTGAAGTCTTGAGAACATGGTTATTTCCATTTAAACTAAGAGACACAGTTCACATTATCCAGATCATACTACACGCAATGCAAATCCAGAGTCCAGATTATCTTATATGATCTTCTGATTTATACACTGTGGAGGTGAATGGCACATAGAGATAGGGACGCTTTTTATATCTGCCAGTAAATTTTTCCATATAGAGAGTTCTACAACATGTAGTTTTCTCATGAAGATAGGTCTGCAATTTCTTGCAAGTGGGGGCATGCATCTTTCCATTTATTTCCAAATGGTTTGTCATTTCCATACAGATTCACCTCATTCATTCTCGAGCATTTTAGAAAATGTGTTTTAAATGCTTTTAGATCTTTACAATGTTTTTTTTTTCTGTTGGTTTTACTCTGCTCCAAATCTAGTGTTCTGGTATTTTAATTTATTTTAATGCCATCAAAACAATTTAAAACAAAGTGAAGAGACACACGCATATCCCAAATTCAGAGCCACTGCCGTTTCAAAAAGCTCAGAATAATGTGGTGGCGGCGGCAGATACACCTTAAGACTGTATTTTCCCCCATTCTTTGCTAGGAAGAGAAATATCTAGCTATGGCACAGTCAGGGATGCTGGCAAATCTTCGGGTCCAAGTCCCCAAGTCCGAGTCTTCGATATCGTGTCCCAGGTCTGAGTCTGAGTCTTTGGTATCATGTACCAAGTCCTAAGCTCAAAGTCTGAGCCCCTATTAAAAATAAGCTTTTTTTCCCCAGAAAAAAAGGGAGGGATTGGGTGGGTTCAGAGTTGCATATCAAGTCCAAGTTGACTCATCAGTGCGACCTAAGCCCAATTTGACTGAGTCCCACAAATCGAACCCCATCCCTGGGCACAGTAGGGTAAAAACAATTTCATTTGCATTCTCCTGTCCCATCCCATTTTCAACTCTTCTCTCTGAAGGATGTGTAGAGCTTAGATCAAGCTGACTGGTAAACCTGTGTGATTTTGGAGGAAATCAACCAAGGTTTCTGGCTCCCAATTGTTTAGCCATGGCAACAACAAAATGAACCAGACTGAAATGAAAAAATGAAAAAATCTTGGGATAACCAGACACAGGATGTTGGTGTGGAAGGACTTCCAACCACCACTCAAATTTTTGTCCTCAGAATTATGTTAATGCCAAAGCTCTATTCAGGCATTATAAAATGAAGTTTCATCAACAAGTTTAGAAGGTAACAGCTTGGTCCTATCACCTCTGTTGCTGCTTTCTACACACAAGCACTGAGTTTGTGGAAGTTTCTGATTACACAGAGACTCTTAGCAAGAACCTAAAAAAACTGGGGCTCTTGCTCACATGGGGAGCCTACATGCAAGCAGGAAATTCCTCTTCTGAATTGGGATTGAGTGCATAAAGAAAGTGTTAACAGAGGGGCAACACTTACTGCTGTCTTCTAAATATGTTGAAGAAACTGCATTCTTAATACTTAACTGTGCCTTTTGCAATAATGTCAGGCAAAAACAAAGCAAAGATAAAAAAATAAAGACGACAAAAACATTGTGGCACCTTAAAGACTAACTGCTATATTTTAATGTGAGTTTTCATGGACAAGTCCACTTCTTGCCATAATGCTTTTGTCTTTTTAATTTTTGTTTTGTTTTCGCCTGACACTAGCACAGACTAACAGGGCTACCTCATCTAAAACCACGGCTCTTGCTGTTAAATTTCAGTACGTGGATCTGATGATTAGAATAGAAATAGAGTAGGTCTCACAAGCCTGAAGAGTGCTCATCCCTCCTCTCCCTTACCTGGAAGCACAGTAAGCCAAGCTGATTGGTAAGACAGGCCAATGGAATTCCCTGCTAGACATGTGTATTCACCAGCATCTTCCATGGAGACATTATGCAAGTAGAGTACTTCTACTTCAGAACTGTTAATGTCTGCCGTCTGCCAAGATAAAAAAACTGTCAGATGAGAAGTGGGGAAAGTAACATATGACATGAGTTACCCAAGCTTCTCTTTGGTTGGGGAGTATGTCTTCCTTGTTGCCAATTTATCTATACGGTGTATCTCACTGACCTGGCAAAACCCGGGCTTGTCACTCAAAAGCAGGGCACTGACACATGCTGCCCCGTGGCCCTTTCTAAACAAGCAGCAAAACACCCAAATGTCTTTGGCATGATGTCCAAATCTGGCAGGAGCTGGTGCTCTGGCTTATCTTTCTCCTAAGAAGTTAGAGAAATAGTCATGGTGTGTTCTAGGTTTATTTTCCTGCTTATTTCTCCATTACTTGGGCAGAGGAAAGGAATAAGCCAGAGTGCAAACTTATGCCAGTTCAATGTCACGCTCAACAAACCATGCTGGTTTAGCAATTAGCCAGCATGCATTATCATACTGGCTCATCTCCAACAACATGCCAGAACTGTTTACAACTCTTCCTTCCTGTGACTTTCAAAAAGGCCCTTTACCTCAAGTATCTGATGAGGCCTGTGCATTCCCATCTCTGGGGAGGATACACTATAGTTAAGTTTTATTTCTTTTAAGGGCCCTCCTATAAAGAATCATGCAAGAAAACTCTGGGTCTCTGATTCAACTGTCTTTGCTATTTGAGTGGAAGAGTGTGAGGCTGCTGATGACATTCTCTGCCTCCACAAGATATATTTGTCTACATTTTTCACAAAGGCCATGTCCTGCCCTGCCAATATTGTGCAGTTTACAGGATCACTTTCAGAATCCTTGGACCTTTACTCTTTCTCTCTCTCTTGTAAAAACACAAGAAAAATATAGCTGTAAAGTCTTATTTTAAGAAAAAGTAATTTGTTGAACATGTCCATGTGTTCAATTCTTAATATACAATGTGTAATTCTTAATGCTGCAGGGATGTATATTTATTTATTTAAAATATTTTATCCCTCCTTTCTCCTTAAAAAGAACCCAAGGCAGATGACATCCTTAAAAAGACAATATGTAGAAGCTAAAAACAGTACGTATACAAATATTAAAAAAGAATTAAACAAGTATTACATTAAAAACAGTACAGTAATAAAATCAATACTAAAACACATAAAACAACAGAGCACATTTAAAAACCTCTCAGACCACCAGTTATTAAGGGAAAGCTTGCTTGAACAGAAAGGTCTTTGCCTGTTTGCAGAGGACAGCAAAGATGGGGCCAGCCTAGCTTCATGTGGGAGGGAGTTCCAGAGTCTGGGAGCAGCAACAGAGGAGGCTCTGTCCTCTGTCACCACCAGGCACACCATGTCCTTAATGCTATACTAGGTGCTAATGACAAGAGATCTCTGGGCCAAATCCAGGGTACTGAGAGGGGCCACCACCTCTATTTCCTACATTCTCAGCCTAGAGGTAAAAGAGATGCAGAGAAAATGGTATTTGTGGCAACAGAACTTTCGGGCAGGATCGGAAGTTCAGGCATTTGCTCACTATCCCAGATGATCAAAGAGGATGCCCAGAGTTGGAAGTTCAGGCATTTGCTCACTGTCCCTCATTTCCTTCTCAAAGGAAGCTAGTTGCTGTCAGAGTCCCAGATGATCAAAGAGGATGCCCAGAGTCATCTGTTCAGTAGTGTAATTTTCCATACTGTCTTCAGTATCACTGAGCAACCTACATTACTGTTTTCCATCCTGGACTAAAAAGACAAAACCAAAAACAAAACCGTGATCACGTTACCTTAAGCACTTGCACGTATGGCACTCCATCTGGGCCATAGCTGCTGCCATTCACTTCAATGTGTTTAAGCCACTGTATGTGGGGCTGGGCATCGCTGTACACCTTGCAGAAGAACTCGACATCACTGCCCACAACAGCTGTGGTGTTGGCGGGTAGCCCAGCTTGCAAGATGGGCCTGTGCGGGGATCTCTCTGCCAGGAAAAGAGTGGGGAAAAGTTTGCCCAAGACAGCTGAAGATCGCCAGGTCCCAGCAAAGGAACACGGTCATGCAGTACAGTACATAAATCACTCAAGATCAAGCTGATTGTGATATCATCCTAGGTCAAGACAGCAACTAAGGTTCAGTTTGCCCATCTGTCAAATAGCAGCGATTTACTCTCAGAGCTTTGTAGTAGAGCTTGGAAGTTCCTTTTTTAGATTAAAACTCTCAAAAACCCCTAGTCAGCATGATAATGGCCATGATGGTTTGGGGTTGTAGTTGAACATATATATATATATTTATCTTCATTTCTCTGCGTCCAAGTATGGCAGTCCTGCTTGATGACATTGTGGGATCTTAACTTCTTTCCTTTCTCTTTGGCTGCACTTCTGATATTACTGAATGCCACAGGCTGAACTCCTCCACCCAGCGCTGGCTCCACAGCCTCTTTCCGGTGATTACATGTAAGCCCAGAGAAGACAGATAATGAGGGGCTGAGAGATAAGGGAGCTTAAAACCAGGCCTAGAGATCCAGGCAGGGTTAATTAATTTCATCTGACTTCGTGGCCTCGAAGATCTTTAGCTTCCTTTGAAGCCGAGAGAATGTTCCTGGCATTTTTTCCCATCTCTTTAGGGAGCTTGAGGTCAGGATGGTGGGCTTGCTCCTTCCCACAGGAACCTGGCAGGCTGCCAAAGACTGGGGTCTGGCAAACCACACACATTCAGAAGCTCTCACTGGCAAAGGAACTAGTGAGCCTCTCAGGCTCGCTGGTTGCTGCCATAACTGGTATCAGCGTCCCAGTTTAAGGAAGGGGACGGAGGATGGGGGGACCCTCTCTTACCTAGCACATCCAGAAAGTAGCTGTAGCGAATGCTGCCAAACTTGTTCTCCACCAGACAAGTGTAGTTGCCTCGATCCGAGGGTACCACACTCTCCATGACCAAGCTCCAGTGTTGATGCCGTAGCTGGGGAGAAAGGAGAAGTCGCTAAGTAATGTTGATCTGGCATCTTGCAATATCTCTAGATCCCACATTAACCGAAGGGGGTCTGGGAGTAGCTTTCAGGAAAGGCTACTCTGTCCTTTTATCTCTCTGACCTTTACCATAAGGAACATCTCAACTGGGGTTTCCCTTTCCAAAAGAACTTTCCATTCCTTCAGGGAATGGTTGCTTAGAGAACAAGCACCCTGTCCCATTTCAGAACCAATGACTCAAGATTATCCAGTGTTGGATATTATTGATCTGGCAGATGGAAGGCAAGCAGAACAAAAGGCAATCAGGTAGAAATCCTATGTAGCTTTTGGCTGTAAAACCGAACCTCAAACTTGGAGAAACAGGACCACATGGAATACAGTTTGTTCTATCATACGGCTCTGTCATCCAAGATTTCTGCTTTCTTCTAAGCCAGATATGGGGAATGTTTAGTCATCCAAATATTTTGGGCTACAACTCCCACAGCCTCTTACTATTGACCATGTTGGATGTGACTGATGACACTTGTAGCCCCAAATATCTGGAGAGCGAGGACCCCTGAAGGTGTGCAGCTGCACATGCACAATGAAGCCCCATTGGCTCCGGTCATGACAGAACCCCGCGTTGGGGGGGGGGAAGAGTCACGTATGCACACAGGGGAGAAGTTGCACAAGACAGAGGCGGAGCCCCCCCGCCCAGCGGGGCTGAAAATTAGAGGATACATGGCTGGAGAGCCAAAGGAATGCCACCTCTGTTCTAAACAGTTAGTATAACAGGTTTCTATCCCTCTCACTGAAACGTAACTCAAAAATGCAGCAGCAGTAGCCTCAACTAAGCCAGCTGGATGAGAAGCGAAAGAAGGCACAGTGAAGGAAGAGCCATTCTCAAGGAAGTGGGATTCTTACTCGGATCCCTCCAATCCGATGCTCCCCCCGGAATTCCCGCCCATTCTTCAGCCAGCGAATCGTTGGGTTGGGGCTGCCGGACGCTGGGCAGCGGAACTTGACGGTATTTCCTGCTGGGACGGCATACAGCTTCTTTTCCATTCGGTGAGGGTGGGTCCAATAGGGTGCTGAAGAAAACATGACATTATCACTTTAAATGAAAGTTGAAGGAACTTTCTGACTTTAAAGACAAAGGTAGGTTTGGCATTGCTTTTGTGATGATTTTGCCACAGAAACCTGGGTTAAAAACCGAAATAAGACAAGGCAACATTTTTGGACTTCAGCTCCCAACACACACCCAGTCAACGTGGCAAACATCCTTTCTGGGGTATGCTGGAATTGTCTTCCAAAAAAACATACTTTCCCCATCTCTGGTTTAGATTATGTTCCAGTTCCAGCAGACCTCACTACCATTCATCTGAGGATAACTGTTATCAACCACTGTGTGACCTCGCAGAACTTCATCAGTGGCAGAGGCAGGGAGGGAAGCAAGGAAGAAGTTTGACAATCCGAAGCTGTCGTGCAAATAACTCTGTTCTTTCTGGTTCAGGCATGCTAGAACCCACAGGACTGAGTATTAAAAAGTCTGATTGGCACAGTACTCACCTCGCCGGGTATGCATGGGCTCCTCATTGGAATCCACATGGGGGCTGTCCACATCACTGTCTTCATCATCATCACCTGAAGCCAATGAATCTGAAACCAAAATTGACACAAGAGGATTCTTTCAAAGGCTACTCTTCCAGTTCAAATAACCAGAGGACACCAACCAAATGTTAGTAACCAGAGGAATTTCCAGAGAAGCTAGAAGGCTGTTTTTTAAGTTATTTAGACTACAAATTTCAGAATACCCAGCCACCATGACCAGAAAATCCCTTTTATCATCTCCAAGCTTTTTAACCTTTACCACGTACCCACCTTCTGCTTAGGAAGAGGGGACTGTGGAATAGCAGACAAAATACTGTCAAACGTAAATCTCCCAAAAAGGAACAAGTGCTGGCTGTTGTAAAGGTTATTTTGCAACACAAGGGTTGCAGCGTAAATGTTGGTTTGTAGGGAGAGTCCCCAGTAATAGAAGAAAATCCATTGAAAATGAAGCAATAGTGATATGGCCTATATTGGCTAAAGGATATATACCTTGCTGGTAATGCACAAGCTAGCATCCTATTGCCAATTTATATTTGCATAAGGGAAATCACCTATAAATCTTCATGGAAAATTGCTGTTCATTAACAAGGTGCTAGTTGCAAAATAGACCAGACTCAATCCAGGTGGGGCTGAGAAAGATTCCTGTCTGAAAGCTTGCAGACTTCTAGTCCATCAGTCTCAACAATACCAGTCTATGTGGAACACCAGCACAAGTATAAAACATCACCCTGTGTTCACTGTAACGATGTTTAGCCTCCTACACAGGGCATGTTCTGCTGGGAGGTCACAGCACTAACATCCTCGGCACCCCTTGGCTTCTTACCTACAACAGAGATAGTGAAGTTGCGCAGGCTTTCCCCAGTGATCCGTGATCGGCACGAGTATAGTCCCGAGTCTTCATAGGTGACCTCGGCAATCTCCAGCATGCTCTGTCGCATGTGCACACGCCCACTTGGGAAAAGCTGCTTGGCTTCTTTGTACCATGAGATCACAAGGCTGTGGTTGGTGCTGCAGTAGAGCTTCAGCAGACTCCCTGGGTCCAGTAGCAGGTGCTCCTCCTCAGCCTCCACCATGTGGCTGTCAGACATCTCTGTCCAAAACAGAAAAGGAAAGGGCCAGCTCAAATGGCAGTATTGGCTCACTGTGGTAGAGCTTAGGCGAGTTCCTTTTCCAGGTGACAACTGGACGTAGTAGCTGGGAAGATTCTGGGAGTTCTGCAAAAGCAGCTTTCCTCATCTATGTCTTTTAGAAACTCTGCACTTAAAACACTCTGAACTATGGAGTGAGCAAGAACGTTGGCTGCCAAGCAGGGACACTTTTACCTCAGTTAAGACACCGAAAGACAAACCTAGTTTTCTTAATCAAGACATGTCAGTGAAAGTGTGTGCACACATATGTTTATCCAAGATTTATTTCTGTAGTTGGAACAAAATGGGAGGGGTAGAAAGCTGTGAATAGGTGGTCACAGGTTTCTGGTTTTCCTGTGTAGGGCTGGTTCAAGACATTTTACTGCCTGAGATCAACAAGAGGGCACCTTTTCCCAGTTGAATCAGACTTCAAAACACTGGCAAAGCTATGACATTTGCCACTGCACAAGAGGACACCAAGGATCTTGCAGGTGTCTCAGTCTGCCTCATGGTAAGGCCAGCTTTGCTCTTGGAGCTGACTACCAGTTTTTCCATCCCAAGTACCTAAGCTAATTGGTCCATCTAAATGCCACCAATTTTACTCTGTTGGGCACGTTGAGTGTCCACTCTGCATGTGCTCTTGGGTCTTTACTTTGGATTTTTCATTTGTTCTAGGGACTAAGCCTCAGGACTGAAGAAAGGCCTTGGGCCTCAACTAAAAATAAAGCCTGTAAGTTATGTGTTCTGCACTCCTAAAAGAAGCCTAAAAGAAGATTTCATTTCAGAAGGGTTGTGAGCTGGATGAAATCAACAGCAGTTTCCTCTGAACTAGAGATGTGAACTTCTGTGGTCGGGAATAATATACTGTAGCAAAATTCTTTTCAAGAAAATTAATACAATAGATTTGGTCTCCCTCTCCAGCCTCAATGGAAACATGTACATAATGGGAGGGATTATGAAATATTTTCTCATTTAGCACAAGGAGTCAAGATTTTTTTGAGTCTGTATTTTTAAATATAGCTATGCTTATAATTCACAATGTTGCAAATGTCTCAGATCGAAGTGTACTGCTGCCGTATTTTACTTAATTTTTAAAGAGGTAATGTTTTCCCAACATTATCTCCTAAGGAAAAAAAAGTTGAACTTTCAAATATTGCAGAATACAGGGGTGCACCCAAGGAGCCTGCCAATCTTATGAACCATGTACAGTGGACCCTCTACTTAAGGAATTAATCCGTATTGGAACGGCGGCTGCAAGTCGAAAAGTCTGTAGGTCGAATCTCCATTGTCCTACAATGCATTGAAAACCGATTAATCCATAACTGGCAGTTTTTATTCTATTTCTGTTCCATTTTGTTTTTTTTCTGGTCTGTAAGTCGATTCTCCGGCTGCAAGTCGAATCTAAATTTTGCAGCCAGAGAAGTCTGTAACTCGAAATGTCTGTAAGTCGAGGGTCCACTGTAACACAATCTGTGAGCAAGGTAGCCTGTGACTCTTTTTTCTCCCTTACTCTCTTGATTCACTTTCCTCCATTTTCTGGAGCACATGAAAGCAGCACATGCATGTTTGAAAATACACCCACAAAAAAGGACTATGAACAGGAGCAAAGCATCAAGCTGCATATTTTCATTGATAAAATTCCTTTGTTTTCTGAAGTCCATGAAGCTGGAAGTACAGGATAAATTTGGCTCTTTTGGACATTGATTCCAATTGGAAAAATAGTTTTGACATTGTTGTCAAACATGTGCTATCTTTGGGGGGCTGAAGGGGATATAAATACTAATTTAATCTATATCAGACAAAAAGAAAAGAAAACGAAACTATAAAAACAAAGAACAAATGTGGCAACCTAATGATAAAATGCAATATTTTGATGGCAGTGTTCGTGGACATGTCCATTTTCTCAGATTTAATTTATCTGCAGTTAGGCATTTACAACCAAAACCTATGAGCATGCAGGTGAATTTACATTTCAGTCCTTAGGAAAAGTGCATACGACAGTGCCATTGTCTATGATCACAACTGTTTTTTTCAACAGTTCTGTATTATGAAATCCAACAGTCTAAAGTTTCTGCTATTTCTGAATTTCTGTATTGTTTTATGTTCTGTGCTTTTTCTCCTTAAAAGAACTGACAGTTTCTTTGGTGGTCGCATAATATCACAGTTATCAAGACATTGTTTGTAAGCCCATATAATAAAGCCTTGTTTTGATTTGCAAAATCTGATGGTTTTTAATTAAATTGTTTTTATTTTCCCAGTTGAGAAAAATATATTCTTGGTTACCTTACGGCCTAACAAATTTCATGCCAGGTCTAACTAGAAGTAGGTTTGTAAATGTTGGGTTGGATCCATGCATAATTATACTGTATTTGGAACAGACCTTATGAAATCAATGGGATTTGTTTAGCTGTGATGGACTCAAATTCCATTGATTTCATTGTGTTTGCTCTTAGGATGATGAAGTCCAGATCTAACCCAGTTTTCAAGAAAACCAAGATATTTTATAAATGCTCAGTACTGATTACATTTGATATTTTAAAAAAGAATGTCTTTCTTAAATTTCCAAGGACTCCCCTCACTGCTTAAATGTTTCTGAAATTGAAAATCATGCATCATCATCATCATCATCACCATCATCATCGCCATCATTATTTTTAGGCATTCGAAATAACTCTCAAGCACCAAATCTGATAGAACAACTATACAGGGGAGCAGGGAAATATATTCAAAGAAACAACCAGTGCACAAGACAGCCAAGTCTCTCTCTCTCTCTCTCTCTCTGTGTGTGTGTGTGTGTTTTCCTCTACCACCACTGGCGATGAGGAGAAAATACATTTCAGGCTCTTCCTACAGAAACCAACTGGGCAAGTGGGATTTTAGGCTCCTGTAGAAACTCCTTCTCTTCAGGTCTTGGAATCTGTGACCAGGATGTAATCAAGTGTATAAGTCAAGAGATTGTGCATATACAGTGGTGCCTCGCACAGCGAGGTTAATCCGTCCCGGATTAACCCTCGCTGTGTGAAACATCGCTGAGCGGGGCAGAAAAGCCCATGGGAACGCATTAAACATCGTTTAATGCGTTCCAAATCGGCTGAAAACTCACCGTTCAGCGATGCTTCCGGGGTCCGGCAGCCATTTTCGCGCCCTCTCCTCGCTGAACGAGGGCACGAAAATGGCTGCGATCAGCTGTTCGGCGGCTGCCCCCGGCCCTTTCGGCTGTTCCGGCGGCCATTTTGAAGCCGCGGAACAGCTGATCGGCGGGTCGCAAAGCGATGGTCGGTAAGCGAACCGCTTACCAACCTTCGCTCTGCGATTTTTGCCCATTGGGGCCATCGCTGTGCAATCACATTAGCGATTGCAAAAGCCTCCTCATAGAGCGAATTCATCGCTCTACGAGGCGCTCGTTGTGCGAGGCACCACTGTACTGGAAAAATAAAAGACTTGGATAGAAGAAGCAGTAGTAAGGAAGTGACTATTTAGGGCTTATATTGATGAGACAGGATGCATCACTGTTGATGTTTGTATTTTTACAAACAAAATCAGTTTTTGAAATGACAGCTGGGCACCCTTAACGGGGGGGGGATAAGGAGGCTGAGAAAAAAGGTGGTCACAGTCCCCACCACCCCTCTTTTCCCCTCCTTCTGCCCCAACCTCCCCCTCCCCCCACCATCCTCTGAGCCCTGCTCCACCCCCGCACTGCCTTTGTCCTGAATCAATGATGTCATCAAAGGCCCTCTCTTGCCAGTCCCGGACAGGAGAAAGGATCCCCACAGACCCTGAACCGGGACTTTTCCCTGCTCAGATGCTCCTCTTTCCCCTTCCTAGGCTGCCTCTCTGTGGGGGCCCTCGATTGAGCGGTCACTTTCTCCTCCGCCCAAAGTGACTGTTTTGACAGATCCCAAAATGAACACGTCAGGAAGCCCATGACTGCTGCCACCCTCTCTCCCCCCCCCAGCTGCCATTGTCCCAACTGCCCTGCTCCTTTCCCCTGCTCTCCCTGCCCCTGCTTACAATGGGGGCCAGTTTCCTTTCAGCAGACAGCTCTGTTAATAGCTCAGGCCTCGGCCTCCACAGCAGGTTGGGGAGGGGAGGGGAGGGGAAGGCAATAAGATCAGGAGTCCCCATGGCTGCTCCTTGTGGGTATGCCCAGCTGTGGGGCAACACCTCCTGGAGTAAGGAGCTAAAAGGCATGCCTTGCCTTCCTCCGTTCCCCCAACCCACCACTGCCCTGCTCTATTTTAACACAGCGCCGTTCCCTCTGCTTCAGCGGTCTCTCCAGAAGTGGACTAGAATCCATGGAGCACATGCCAGAGCCAATCTCTTAAAGGTCTCACAAGACTTTGGTTTGCCACTGTCGTTTGTGGCACAGGCTGAAGCAGATTTACAGGCTGTATCTCTCTGAACATTCCTCCCACTTGTGTCTCTCACACTCGGTCCCCGCTCAGCACACAGGCCTCCTCGCTTCCTCCCCCTGCATGGCATGAGTGGGAGTGAGAGGTTTCACACTCAGTTGACTCCACCACTTCCCGCCTCTCTGTTTGTCTAACCTGGATTTGAACTATAATTCCTTTGGCGACCCATCCTCCTCCTCCTCCTCCTCTTCCATCAAAGATTGTGGTGGGAGCTCTTCCCCCCCCTCCTCAAACCAGTTCACTCATAATTAAACTCCACTCTTCCATGTTACTCAAAGCTGGTTTTCTTAGCTGAGGAACACGAGCTTCTCTTCCTGATGGAGACAGGGTGCAAGGGTCTAGCCTCTGTGTCTCCTAAACTCCAGATAGGAAACTGTCAACCAGCCAAGACAATCTTGAGAATGCAGTCACTTGGAAACAAGCTCTCTCTAAATCTTACCAACAACACACAAGTTCCCTTCCCCTACAGACCCAGCTTCCAGTTATTTCAGAAGCCGAAATATTTCTGCAAACCAGAGCTGAAAAAAAATTATATTTTGGATCCACAATCTCTAAAATTCCCCAGTGAGCATGATTCTGAGGGTAGGAGATGTTAGGAGTTAGTGCCTAATAAAGTAACTTTCCCCATTTTAGCTGCAAACCTTGTGGGCAACATGGAAGTCCGATTCATTCTTCTTCACACTCTACATTTCAGTGTTGGCACAAGACATTTTTCTCCCTGTGGCAGAATAAGTGCCACTCCCCTAAGTCAGGGTGTATTGTATTGGCACTTGTGACAGAAAGACAGACAGACAGATAAAAATGAAAATTTAAAGCCCACATGAATTTCTCCGTGGGAGTAAAAATACAATAACTGTAATGGTAAATTAAACAATCAACTATTTGTTTTCCTTCCATTGCATGCAAAGTTAAAAAGAAATGACTGAGATGGTGCATAGGAATGGGGAAGGAGCTTTTGAGATGAAAAAGCATCTGCTCTCAATTGGCTGGAACTCCTGCATAAACCAGTGACCCTGGGTAGGTCTGAATCAACAACAAATATACACCTGGCTATAGATACTATCACCCAGAGTGACCATTGTGCTTGCTTGCCTTCATTCATTACCATGAGCCTCTCTTCCTATGCAGATAGGATGTCCCATTCTTTACTACAGAACAGACTTAGAAGTAATACAGTATTACTTTGGATAATTCAAAGTGTTCTATGAGGATTTAGCTTCAGAAAGCCATTATGGAAAGTGAGGAAATTATCATTATTAGCTAAATGCAAAGACACTCTTTGAATAGAAACCTAAGCAGTCAACACACCAAACAATGTAGAAAACATTGTCTAAACAACACAATTTGCAAATCTGCATTTTGAACAAATCAGGAAAGATAAATATGAACTACACAATTACTAGGGCACAATCCATTCTTCATCCTTTTTCAAAGTACACTATAACTTCTATCAAAGAGATCTTTCCACTGGAAGATCTGCTGCTTCCAGTGAGTATTTGGATAATCAGGTGCAAATGTGAAATTTACAATTCTTCCAGCTAAGGCAGTCCCAGCTCTAAAACCTGAAGAAGGTGTCCTGCCAAGCCACCAGCACTGCATGTTGACATGGAGAATCAATGTTTCAAAAATACTAAGGATATCTTCCGTTTGGAATAAATCTTCTGACATGCTGTCAGAATGAGCCTCTGAACTAGTGTATTGACTACTCCCTTCCTTTTTCTCCTAAGCAATGCGGAGCTTTGAAAAGCCACTTGCTTAGACTAAAACTCCCATAATTTCCATGGCCATAATGATTGGAGGATTCTGAGAGGTGTACTCTAACAAGCTCTCTGAGTATACATGGCCTCCTCACAGAAGAGGGCAGAAAATGCCCTGGTTGTCAACTATCATGTCCTTACACCTGCTTCCTCAGTCCATTCAAAGAGCTTGGGTAGGTGATGTGGTGAATTATGGTGATGAATGTGATCTGACAACAGCAGCAATGACACTTGGGCAGCTGGTTGGCACAAATATCAGATGTTCCATCTGTTCAGTGGATGAGCCAACTAGAGACGAAATGTCTTTTCTCAGGCAGGAGTGATGATGCCAAGCACCTGACATGGCAATTTGCCCCTCCTTCTGCCAGAGAATTCTGGAAGTGCACAACTACAAAAAAGTATCAGCAGTTTGGCAAATTAGGTTACTCACTGGGGCCAATTGCAAAACAACGGATCATTTTGGTCACACAATGCAAGCACTTCCACAAATGCCAAACCTTGTGTTTATAACAGTTTGACTAATAAATGGATTACTGTGTTCATTATCTTCACACATTCTCTGGCTCCAAAGCAACAGCTCTAAAACCAGAGCCACCAGAACTGTGGTGTGTTTCAACAAACATTAAGCCTAACTCATATAAGTTTCATCAGTTCTGAAGAATGGCAATGTGTTCACATATTTTTATCCTACATAGATCTGCATGTGCTTCCTTGACAGAATTGTGCTTAGTTTTATTCTTCAATAATCAGCCATTTATTTTGCTTAGACTCATATAAATCAAGTTAGAAGATGAGATAAGAGGGAAAGCAGACCAGAAATAGATCCAAGGAAAACCAGTTACTTAATCATGGCTGTAGAATGAGACAGAAACAACTCTGATAAAACCAGTGAAAATTAAGACTCTTTTGCTGAGAGACCAGATACTACAGATAATTTTCACAGCACAGAGGTCTGAAGGGAGCATGTGCTTATCTATTGTTTTGCAGAACATCTGCATTTAAGTCTTGCCTTTTTGTGCAGTAGCCTCTGTTTGAATCAGGAACTTCCTATACATTGCAGAGCAAGAAGCAGAATGGGAATCCTCTCTGTATTGCAGGGGTGAGAGGTTTCAGACTACATTTTAAAAAAATTAAATCCCTGAAATCCAGGGCTCAACTGTTAGAGTTAAGGAGCATAAGTCTTTTGAGAACATGCTCAGCCTGGAATTCGTTTTCATTGTCCAGCCACATACAAATCTACTCCTGGATTTCCTACCAAGGTTTTAAAAAGTATCTTATCAGCCTAATTTAGATGAGAGGAACAGACTTTTTGGTCATGCCATTGTTAAACAAGTGGTAATCAGAAGCCGTGTAAGTCTCCCAAAAATTCAACAGTAAATTCTGATCAACCTGCTGTCCTACAACAAAATTCCCTCTGTCGCCACAAGTAATTAATTAAAATACACTCCCTACTCAGCAGCCACTACCACTTTTGTGTGCACTAACAAAAGAAAGATGGAAGAGCAGGAGGCAGATAAGAGCACTGCAGCTACGTATTCTGCTTGGATTCTGTGCTGATGCTTACTCTTTGTTATACAGTGAATGTACTGCTCCTTTGCTATGATGTTATTACATTAGGAGGCTAGGGAAGAATTACCCTACAACACACTTACCAACTATCTGCTGCAGTAGAAAACAGCAAAGGCACTGTTGCACTGCAACTCCCACCATCATAAACATACAAGCAGCACTTCACAGGAGATCCAGTCCACCAATAATATCTGAAGGGTCACTATTGTACGATTTCTACCATGAAAGAAAACTAGCCTAAGCCAGGAGTCTCTGAATGGACTTGGAACAGAGAAAGCTGGTTTCAGTTTCCAAGCCCTGTCCTAGACTCATTATGTGGTTTTGACAAACCATTATGTTTAAGATGGAATAAATTCTACTCCACATCCCAGAATTCTCTAATGACAGAAAATGAAGTAAAAGATTATGCAAACACTATAAAAATGTGAAAAGGCTCATAAATCATGAATAACCTTTGACCCTTAATAACTGAGGCTCCTGTCTCTCTCTCACACACACATTCAGCCTTCACCAACCTAGTGCCTGCCAGATGTGTTGGCGTGATGGGACTGTATCCAAAATACCTGGAAAGCATAGAACAAGGGAAGACTGGTGGTCTTACTCTTCACACTAGCAATAACTTTTCTCCCAGGACCCTCACCTGGGTCTGTGGTTCCTTCTATGGAAACTGCTGGCCAAGCACACGTGGTTGCCACCACCAGCAATCTCAAGAGGCCGCACAGCAGGGCTGTCATCCTATTGTCTCTGCTTCTTATTCTCCGGCTCCCAGTTGGAACTTCTTCAAATCCTAGAAGCAAACAGGGAAGAGAAGATCACTCTTCTGCCCTCTGAGTTTTCCTCTCACTGTATGTAATCAGTGTATAACTTATGTGACAGTCATCTCAGTAGGATAAGGTGGGGAGAATTATTTAGGAAAATACATTTATGAAAACAGACAGTTCACACTGCCGGATATTCCTTTCTAAAAGAAAAGAATGCCTTGCTGAGGGGGACAAAGCCTTGATCTGCCAATCAGTCCTAAGTATTTGAGTGTGACAATAAAAAAAAATAAAAAAATAAAAAAAGTGCCCATCACACCAAACAAACAAGCCAAATGTCCAAGATGCAGGTATAGAAGTGAAGTCACTTCTTTGGAGCCCATATTTGCCAGAGCTCTGCAGTTTTACTGTGCTCATCTCTGTGAACCTGCTGCACAACTCTCATCAAGCTGTGACAGGAGGTTGAAATGTCATTCCAAGCTCTAGTTCACCATTCTCTAAATCCAGTAGTAGAGGATCTTAGGGTGACCTTTCCAGAACAGGGATACCCCCCCCCCCACACACACACACTTGGATTGGACCCAACCCTCTCTATCGCTGGGCTGGACTACTGTGGCTTCCACCTCAAATCCCAACAGCGCAGTGTGTCGAGACGCTGGGCAGCTGCAGAACAGGGGGTCTAGGAAACAGTGTCTGCCAAGGCCAGCATCTTAGGGCGACCTTTCCAGAACAGGGATTCCCCCCCCCACACACACACACTTGGATTGGACCCAACCCTCTCTATCTCTCGGCTGAACTACTGTGGCTTCCACTTCAAATCCCAACAGCGCAGTGTGTCCAGACGCTGGGCAGCTGCAGAACGTGGGGTCTAGGAAACAGTGTCTGCCAAGGCCTGGGGAAATGGGGGAAAATGTGGGGTAGTAACAGGAAAAAGGAAAATCCTGGACGAAAACGGTGAGGTTACTTCGAAGGTGCTGTGATTACTTGTGCTACATTCATGCCCGGCTATGGGTGGGTATACGCCCAGGCAACCAGTAACAATCACACATGGAGTGCAGTCCAGAGAAATCTCCAAGTGGGTTTGGGTCCCCCTGGAGCTAACGGGGCTTTGGCACTGAGTTAAGAGGGTTCGGTGGAAGATTTCGGAGGGCGCTGGTGGAAACGCAGCGGCGCGCCGGGGTGTGTGTGTGTGTGTGTGTTTGTGTGAAGCGGCGCGCCGGAGCGTGTGTGTGTGTGTGTAAACAGGGAGCGCGTTTGTTTGAATGGCGCGAGCGTGGCGCCGCATCTACGGCGTGGTATGTGTGTACACGGTGTACGTTTAGCAGAAGGGGAACGGCGCGTACGTGCGCGTGTGAGAGCAGAGGGCGTTCGCGTCCAGGAAAAGTTTCTCATCCCGAGAGCAGTTTAATCTTTAATCCCGAGCGACAAAAGGGTTTCTGCGAACCCGGAAAGTTTGGTAACAGATTTACAGACCCTCCCTCCCGGTCAAAGTCCACCTCGGTGCCCGCCATCGGACAGCAGCTCTTCGCCCCGCCACACCCGGGGAGCCTCCTGGGTCACCGCGGACCGGATAAACCGGAGCTCGAGGCTACTTGCGCCCGCCTTTCCCCCAGCCCGACTCCCCCTCCTCTCCGCCACCGGGGCTCCGCTCCGCTCCTTCGGCGCCACGCCGGTCCCTGGGCTGCCTAAAGGCGTCCAGCCCGGCCGGGACCCACCTCACCTTCCCTTCTTCTTCCTCCGGCCGCCTTAGCGCTGTCCCACCACGCCGTGCTCCTGCAGGGCGCTACACCCGGGCTCCATCCCTCGGTGGGCAGCCGCCCGGGGAAGGGAGCGAGGCTCCAGCCCCTCGATCGCCGAGCCCCGGCCGCGAGTCTCGCAGGAGGAGTTCAATCCGGCTAATGCACGGCGGTGGCTGCGGCTTCCTTCCTCTCCGCAGAGTTCACCACGCCGGGAACTTCGCCGGCGGACGGTGGGCAGGGAGATGCGATGCCTCGCCTCGCCTCGCCTCGCCTCGCCTCGCCACGGGCGCTCTTGGGCTCGCCGACCTCCCGGCTCCACGGGTCCCCGCGCCTTCTGTCGGCTTCAGCAACAGGCGCGGAGACTTTGTTGGGAAAGCTCTCAGGTTACACCCCCGCGCTCAGCGCAGCC